CGACAAGTGCTCAGCCTTGTTGGAAAGCTATGATTCCACTGTTTCACGTGATATTCGTGGCTTCTCGCTATGACGCACGGTCACGGAGAAAACCAATAGAGAAGAACAGGTGTGAATTTGGACGCACTATGCGTCGTTCAGGCCCATAGGGTTAACAAAAAACAACATAAGTCAATTAAATATAATCATAATTTAGTATGGAAACACTGGATTAAATGGCTGTGTCATGTAAAACATGTTGTTTGTAGTGACAAAGCCACAAAAAAATACCTCAAATGATGCAGTTGCTTTCGGCAACCACGCAGCTTTACCGCTAGCAGCCACTAGCTAGCTAGCTGTCATTGAGATTAGCCATTAAACCTAAACAATAAGCTAGCTAGGTAGCACAAGCTTGTTTGTTGTTTTGGTTTAGAAGTTTATTCTCACTGCTCTCTTCAGTTTCATTCATAACTTACATGTTTTTGGTGAAAACAGTTAGCGATGAGCATTTTAGCATTTAGCATTTAGCGGCTAAAGAGCCAGATGTTTCCCAGTGTCCAAAAGGAGATTGAATATGGGACCTATATTCATCAGTTGACCAGAAATATGACTCTACATGAATGCTAATGTTGCTTTGCATCTGTAAAAAAAGAAAAGAGGCAACTATTTTCTAACCAGTAACAATTTTATAAGGTGATAACCAGGGTCTCGTTTATGGATTACGGATCATCAATGGATCCATACTAAAAATGTACACACAGAAAAAAGCCAAAAATGGCGTGCGCCAAAAAATATTTGACAATTTCTACAATAACGCTTTCACCTCACCTTCTGCAACGCCAATTTTCTGTCTCCCAAATGTTAGTTAGCATGGGTCAAAGTTTCTCCCATCAAATCTGTTTTTATAGATCACACCTTTTGCGTGGGAAGTGGCGTACACCTCTTTCGGACCTCATTTTGTGCATATGCAGTGTTTATAAATGAGACTCCAGGTCCCCAGAAATGCAGTTTTTTCCTGGTGGCCACTTGCTTGGTATTGCAGTGAAAACATCCCCATAGGCCACCATTATAAAAGAGACGTCTGTAAAACTGCTGACAGGACACCTTGAACTGCAAACGAGGTCAAATATGCCCCTTTCTTCTATGAATTTTTGATCCATGTAGGTTTTATGTTGTAAAACATTTCTCAAGCTGAGAAAAGTGATTTAAAAATCTGTGATGTCATCGCAATGTTAAGTCTATGAGCTGAGCAGGAACTCCAGGGTGGGGCCAGTGAGAGAAACACTACTGCCTATATTCAGTGGGCTGCATACTGTGGAAATAAACCCACAAGCTAAAAACTTTTGGTATGCGCCAGGGGAGCACTACCATTGCACTGAATGGGCGCCATCTTGGGGCCCAGTATCTGTGGTGATAACATGTGGTGGGGTGGGACTACAGCAGTGAATGCAGCTTTAAGACAGCACTGTCATGAGTTAGGAATCAATAAATTAACATTTCTTACACAAGGAAATAGTGAAAAACCTCAGTGTACAATTTATGTGGTGAATAGGCCTACTAGCGTTCTCATAAAATCATCTCCTGTTAGCTTCATCAAATAAAGCCAGTGTTAGCACATGAGGAGTGAACCTTCAGATGTTTGAGGTTACATTACAGAAGCACAGTATTTGTCAGATCATTTCAACAGTGTAGTTTATAGTTTCATAACCTCCAAGTGTGCAATGTCCATCAAACATCCTCCCTTTGTATCAGAGTACGGATAATTTTATCTCCCACTCCATGTTCAAAGTAACCACTATGTAAATACGGCCTATTAAACAACATGTTCAGTTAGAGCCACTTTAAATGCTGTGTAGTCTGTGGTTTGACTCACTGCAATTATCCGAGAGTCTGAGTAGGCAGGGAAGGTGGTGTGTGTGGCACAAAACAAGATAAACTTGTTCTGTTCAAATGAATGAAAGCTTTGTCCAGAAATCAGGAAATTATGGGGGGAAAAAACTCCCTGAAAAATCATGTTTGAAAATATAATTAAAACATCAAAGTGTTCATTGTTCTGTTGTTTGGAGGGGAAATTTTTAGGTATCCAGACAGGGGTTTTTTGGAACATGTTGTTTTGGCATCATAATTCAATTAACTCAATACAATTTAAATCAGGCGATGACCAATTTCTTCCATAAACACAACAGACTGTTTCTGGTGGCACAGAACAGAGCAACAGCTCAGCACAGGAGAAAGTTTAGAAATGGTGCGACTGAGTGTGTTTTCAGTTCCCTCCGAGGACATCCAACAAAGTGCTTATCAATTTAATGTTCAAATAAACGTATCTTCAAAGCCCAACATTGATGTAATGGACGCTAAATCAGCTTAAATCATTTTTATTTATGGAATAGTTCACTCTGTTTTTTTTCATTTGTGTATTTTATTCCTTTTTTTTAATTTATGGAGCTGAAGTCGGCTCCCAGTTTTATTTGTGATGCTCAGTTTATGCACCACTTTTAGCCAGTCGTAAATCTTTATGGCCTAGATTCACAGAGTGGGCCTGTATGCCAAAGCGTGCAGCCAGTGAGGATGGAAGGACAGTGTCTACAAGTCTACAAGGGCAACAGAGAATGTAAATCAACGCCTGTAGTGATGCAGATTTGGAGAGTTCAACCTGGAGGTCCTCCTCATTGTTACCACAACATCACCGCTGCACACATGCAAAAGCTCACCCACCCACCAACATTCCTGTGAAGCGCTTAAGACCCCAGTAAACAATCCAGACTCACAACAAAGAACCAGCGCTCATTGTTTTAACCCATAACACCCGCCGTGAGAGCCCCGGTGTCTGTGGGGGAGCGAGATCAAGTATCATGGGACACAGCCGCGCCTCAGTCTGATTCATTGTGTGACTCAAATGTGGTGTGACTGATGTCTGAACCAAACAGAAATAAACACATTTTTTAAAATGTTTTTTTCCCTCTGGCACCAGGCTGAAGTCAGCACCTGGCTGTTGCTGGGATATATTTATATTTTTTCCTCAATAAGAAACATCCAAATCTAATGATTCATGATACATTGTTGTTGCTGGGGTTGTTTCAGGACGGAGGATTTCTGTTCTAAGAGTAAATGTTTGATAAATAAAGTATTGCGACATCTCCCCAGCATAGTCATGCCATTAAATCAACACTGTTGAAAAATAATATTATATTACAGGTAAAAGTGCAGATGTATTATCAGCAAAACCTATTTACACTCTGATGCATCAGCAGTTTTTACTACTAAATGCACAGGTAGCAAGGTTAGTGCAGCGTCTCCCCAAAAGCGTAGGTTTTGTTTCAGTGTTAGGGGGAAACATATGGCGGCAGTAGCTCAGTCCATAGAGACTTGAGTTGGGTCGCCTGTTCAAGTCCCCGTCCAGACCAAATATGGAGCGTGGACTGGTGGCTGGAGAGGTGCCAGTTCACTTCCTGGGCACTGCCGAGGTGCCCTTGAGGAAGGCACCGAACCCCCCAACCGCTGGGGGCACCTGAACAAGGCAGCCCCCCTCACTCTGACATCTCTCCACTTTGTGCATGTATAGGTCCTGTTTGTGCATGTGTGTGTCTTTCAGACCTGTGTGTAACTGACAGCAAGAGTGAAAAAATTGAATTTCCCCTCAGGGGGATTAATAAAGTATATAAATTAATTAAAAAATGTGTAACTGGGATTTTGGGGTCCTCTGCCAGACAATGTTGACCATCAAACACTTATGATAAATTTTGAGCACCAATTTGTTCCTTCAATTTATGATAGAAATGTCTTTAATTTTGTCAAAAAGTCTTTGCACCAGGACATGTCCTCAGCTTCCCCCTTGAAATCTGCACCGAGCAGTACAGTACGGTTCAGTTCAGTACGCTTTTTTTCTGTACTGTCCCCATGTTTGGTCCCCGCTCTGTTGGGGTACCTAGCACACAGATGTGGTACTAAAAGGTGGAGCTGTGAACACTGCAGTCTGATTGGTCAGTAGAGGACGGTCACTCTGCTCAGGGCTGAGTTGTGTCTGGTTTTGAGGCTCATGTAACCACTGTTCATACTGTGGAGAGTTTTATTAGTAAACTGTAACTATAAAATGAAAGGATGTTTTGCTGCCTCTCACAGCAGCTGGAGTCTGAGAAAAAATAACTTCATTCACTGGGCCGACTGCTGGTGACTTTTAAGGTGGAACATTAACTTGTAATGTTACTGAATGCATGAGTTGATGACGTGAATCCATCAACACACTCATTTCACTGTGACAACTTTGTCTCTCATGGATGCCATACCCTATTAGTTATGAGTAGATCTGTAAGTGTTTAAAAATATATATTTATTTTGGCTGGATTATGTCACAATCCTCACTTGCGTCGTTCCTGTGGACTCCAGCAGCACTAAACCCCTGAGCTTGCCTGAGAAGGCAAGTGCATGAACTTGTTATTTTTAAATATCACATGGAAAGAGACTCTCACTGCAGCTTGTTTTAGTTAGTTCTGAAAATGTCGCCGTGCAACCCCGTTCTGTAGACGATAAACAAGATGCAGACTGATAAAGGAGGCGATATAGCAGGTTCTTGATGGAGCAATGAAAGGATACTGTTTGTTGTGGAAACGCTTAATGGACCTAGGGTCTAGGTACCAAGTCTGAACGGTTACTTTGGTTTCAAGGGTACCATATTGCAAGTGTTTGGTGGAAAAAGGAAACATCTAACATTTACTGCATTCTAGTGATTTTTTTTGTGCACAAAAGCCCCATTGAAATCTAAACGTATGTGGCTCCCAACATAGGGATTGAGGCCCTTTCAAAGGCTCATAGGATAAATCTAGGGGGTCATAAGTTAATTAAAAACTTATGCAACACAAATTTATAGTAATTCTCGTTTTACTCTAATATTTCTTTTTTTTATTTTAAATAAATATCAGATCCTTTTACTACAGCTTTCAGGTAAATGATGGAGTAAAAAGTAGATCAGAAGTTTTGGTTTGCTTTTTTTTTCTATCCACAAAACTGCAACAGATGAAGCTTTTTCATTTTTTCATTTTTAATTTTTCAGTTTCAAAAATGTGTAAGATACAGTTTATATTGCAAGAACAGATAGAAAAAGTAGTAACATTTTAAAATTTACAGTGAGTCAAAGCTCAGAAAAGATATAATAACATAATCTGTCCAATCAACACCTGTGAACAACAGGCCTTGTGACACCTTTTAAATGATGCTCTTCTTTTTCACAATCTGACAGAACAGGACCACTGAGAAAATCATGCCCAGAATCATCAAGCTGCCAAACATGAACGCAGTCCCCATGAGTGAGTCCGATACTCTGTCCAACCACGTCATAATGTACGGCATACAAGGTGTGGAATAAATCTCACGTTGGTCCAAATCTGTGCAGTTCCTGGAGGTGTCTGTGCAGTTACATGAGTCCGGCACCACAGTTGAGTTGCCCCAATCAAGATGTCCAACAAAGAGACCACAACAGAACCCGCTCATTTCCATGGCTTGAAGCGACTCCTGAACTTCCTTCGGCTGTTCGCTCAGCGGAAGCAGCTGCTTCATGTGTTTCCTCACCAGCTCCTGGGCAGCTGCGGTTCTTGATACAGCTCCCAATGTTCCCACGGCCAACAGCATGAGAGACAAGCAGAGCAGGCCCAGGAAGAACAGGGCCAGCAGGCAGCGGTTCTCTCGGATCGCTCCACAGCAGCCCAGGAAGCCAAAAACCAGAGTCACGGCGCCGATAAATATCAGCAGGTTTATGGCTGGGAGAAGGTCATCAGTGATCTGGTAGTCTGCTCTGTGGCTCCTGATGTATGTGGAAACAGTGAGGATAATGATTCCACCCACGAAAAACAAAAAGTTGAAGGTGAAGAGAAGGAATTTGATGACCTTGTTGACTGCCATTGTTCTGCCCCACCAGCAAGACAGAAGCCAAATGTAAGTGTATCTGTTGCTGGCTGCTACTGCTTAAATACTGGTGGGAACTTCTGCCTCCATGTCGGGGGCGTGTTCAGTGGGTGGGGGATCACCTTGCTGGAAGCAAAACACAATAGAGACAGACCTGAGGGGGTAAAACAAAAAGTTGTTCTCCCGGTGATTCTCCATTAGCAACACATACTGTCTCACACCCCCACACTGTTGTTACTCAATGTGATGGCACAGAGGGAAACAACTGTAAACCCAGCTGTTTGGAATATGACAAATTATGCCTCTTTTTAACCAAATGATACAAACCCTAGAAGCCACAAGTGCTGAATTAGAAACTCAAAAGTTGCTTTTGCACATTCTCACTTAATTCTCATCACATATGAAGAGTTGTGAAGCTTATGCAACTTGGGGGTATGCAGAGGACAAGTCCCCTTCTATATTTAGGACATTTGCATTTGTCCCCCACAATAAAATCATGAAAATAGCAGAGGACTTTTATTTTTGACAAAATAAAGACATTTCTACCTTAAACTGATGCAGAAAAGGCAGAAAATTTAAGTGCTTTACACTCAAAATGTCTCCCAACCTCTCCTGTTCAGTCACCAGTTGACTATCTTAAATATTTTCTTATCTTGTGGCCTTATTAAAATCTACTTATTCATGTGGTAGCCCTTCTTTTTGTCACATCCTGAGCTCACTGCATATATTCTTCCTAATATTTCTTTTTTAAAAATAGCAGATCATTTTACTACAGCTTTCAGATAAATATTGGAGTGAAAGTATAATTTATTCCCTGTGAATTTTAGTGGAGTAGAAGTTGTTTTTTTTCATATCCAAACAAATGCAACAGAGGAAGCTTTATTCATTTTAAATCTTTTTTTTTAAAGTGTAATACACTGTTCATACTGCAAAAACAGATGCAAAAAGTAGTAATATTTTAAAATTTACAGTGAGTCAAAGCTCAGAAAAGATGTCATTAAGACTAAAATGATTTGTCTAATCAACATCTGCAAACATCAGGCCTTGTGAAACTTGTGGACATTTTGCAAATTGATGGAACGCAGGGGACACGTGAAAGCATGAAGGTAGCAGAGGACTTTTATTTTGACAAAATTAAAGACATTTCTACCTTAAACTGATGCAGAAAAAGCACAAATTAGTGCCTAAAAATTCACCAGAATGCAGGAAATTGAGTCTTTAACGCTTAAAATTCCCTTCACACTTCCTTGCTCATTCATCAGTTATTTTTCTTGAATATGTTTCTGATCTTGTGGTTTTATTACAGTCTTCTTAGTCATGTGGTAACTCTTCTTTTTGCCACATACTGAGCTACAGTCAGGTCCATAATTGTTTGGACAATGATACAGTTGTCATCATTTTGGCTCTGTACACCACCACAATGGGTTTTAAATGAAACAATGAATACCTGCTTAAAGTGCAGACTCTCAGCTTTCATTTAAGGCTTTTTTCAAAAATGTAGTATGAACCATGTAGGAATTACAACCATTTCTTCACACAGTCCCTGACTTTAAGGGCTCATAAGTATTTGGACAAACTAACATAATCATCAATTAAACAGTCAGTTTTAATACTTGGTTGCAAATCCTTTACAGTCAATGACTGCCTGAAGTGTTGGACACATAGGCATCATCAGATGCTGGGTTTCTTCCCTGGTGAAGCTCTGCCAGCCCTTTACTGCAGCCGTCTGCACTTCCTGCTTGTGTTTTGGGTGTTTTACCCTCAGTTTTGGCTTCAGCAAGAAAAACGCATGCTCAATTGGATTCAGGTCAGATGATATGACTTGGCCATTGCAGAACATTCCACTTCTTTGCCTTAAAAATGTCTTTGGTTTCTTTTGCAATATGCTTCAGGTCAATGTCCATCTGCACTGTGAAGCATCGTCTAATGAGTTTTGAAACATTTGGTTGAATGTGAGCAGATAATGTAGCCCCAAACACTTCAGCTTTCATCCTGCTGCTCTTGTCAGCAGTCACATCATCAATAAATACAAGAGAACCAGTTCCACTGGCAGCCATACATGGCCATGACATAACAGTACCTCCACCATGCTTCACTGATGAGGTGGTGTGCTTTGGATCATGAGCAGTTCCTTCCCTTCTTCCTTCTCTTGTCTTCCCATCATTCTGGTAGTTGATCTTTGTTTTATCTGTCCATAGTATGCTGTTCCACAACTGTACAGGCTTTTTAGATGGTTTTTGACAAACTCTAATCTGGCCTTCCATTTTTAAGGCTAACCAATGGTTTGCAGCTTGTGATAAACCCTCTGTATTTATTCTAGTGAAGTCTTGTCAAGAGCAGCAGGATGAAAGCTGAAGTGTTTGGGGCACCATTATCTGCTCACATTCAACTAAATGTTTCAAAACTCATTGGACGATGCTTCACAGTGCAGTTGGACAATGACCTGAAGCATATTGCAAAAGCAACCAAAGACATTTTTAAGGCAAAGAAGTGGAATGTTCTGCAATGGCCAAGTCATATCATCTGACCTGAATCCAATTGAGCATGCGTTTCTCTTGCTGAAGCCAAAACTGAGGGCAAAACACCCAAAACACAAGCAGGAAGTGCAGACGGCTGCAGTAAAGGGCTGGCAGAGCATCACCAGGGAAGAAACCCAGCATCTGATGATGCCTATGTGTCCAACACTTCAGGCAGTCATTGACTGTAAAGGATTTGCAACCAAGTATTAAAACTGACTGTTTAATTGATGATTATGTTAGTTTGTCCAAATACTTATGAGCCCTTAAAGTCGGGGGACTGTGTGAAGAAATGGTTGTAATTCCTACACGGTTCATACTACATTTTTGAAAAAAGCCTTAAATGAAAGCTGAGAGTCTGCACTTTAAGCAGGTATTCATTGTTTCATTTAAAACCCATTGTGGTGGTGTACAGAGCCAAAATGATGACAACTGTATCATTGTCCAAATAATTATGGACCTGACTGTAATTGCATATTTGATGAAAGTGGGAAAAATACAAAATATCATAATCACTGTTTTATACAAAATTTGTAAATTCTAAAAGTTTTATAGTATGTTTACGGAGCATGCATGAAAAATGTATTGACAGTCACAGACTTATAAATGTACAGTATCTTATCCTACTAAGTAACGTTACTTCAGGTAAGATAAACTTTATTATCCCACAAGAGTAAATTCAAGTGGCTATATACGATCAAAAGGTAAACTATATGTGCACTATCACGCACAAACACATCTTGTCCAATGCTGGTAATATGAACTATATATTATAGTAAATACAATCTTAAAATACATGATACAGACTTCTGCTGTTTGACCTGCTACTCCATTACAATTTCAGTTAAAGAGGACGTGTAGCATCACTGAGGATCTGATCAGTGTTTTTCAGAATAAGGTCATTGTACAGCTGTGTTGCAGACACCTGATCAACCCCGCTGACTCTTGCTGTCCTTATCATCCACTGAAATCTGGCATGATTTTGAACATCCATGTTTCCAAAAGTACAGACCAGGCCAAAGGACAGAACACTCTGCGAGACAGATTTGTAGGACATCTGGAGGATGGGGCGGTCTGCTCTGAAGTGATTCCGTTTCCTTAGAAAAAACAGACTTAATCCCTGTGCGTTCCTTAAATCGTATGCAGTCATCGATTTCAACGCCAAGTTCAAACCCCTTTAATTAATTCACCAATAATCTTGAAGGAGGGGAGTATTATTATTATTTTTTCTTTCTAATATCTGTGACCATATATTTTGTTTTCTGTATGTTAACCTCAAGGAAATGGAGTCAACACAACCTTGTTTTCTCCCTCTTAAAACCCAGATTGTCAGATTCTCGAAACCCAGTACACTATATTTGGGGTCAGTGTGTTCTGGGTCGGGATGCCAACAGGTGACTGTTAATCAGTTGCTTGTGGTGAGTATTTTTTTTACAAGTCTAGTTTTGCTACTCTTCAGTTTACTGCACTGCATGCCACAAGGGTCTGATGGGAACTGGCTAGCAGCACGCTCATACGGCAATTCCCACTAGTAACAGTGTCCTACCCCAACAGTGTTGCTGTGGGAGCACTGTACCCACCCACCAGTCTCCCCTCAGGTCACCTCAGTATGTGAGTGGGTCACTTTTGAGCTGCAAACCCCCATTATAATTGTATGTTATCATTGTTAGCTCTGTTAGCACCGTTGGCTAGTAGTGCTAACATAGTTAACAATGCTAAAGAGGTTTTGTGGCTCAAACTGAAGTTACTTACTCACTGGAGCTACCTGGAGGAGAACAGAGGGTGGCAGCCATGTTTCTGTAACAGCACCGTCCTGCCACCAGGACAGTGTTACTAGCAGTAATCCCAGTGGCGTTGTTAGCTAGCTCCCACCCAACCCAGGTGGTGCACAGTGCAGAGCTGCCAAGGCTAACCAGTGGAGACCAGAGGGTGGGCTGTGGGCACGATATTTCCGCATGTAACGCAGCGACCTGTCTGTCTGTCAGCAGAGCCAACAGAAAATAAAATAAAGGTACGACATTTAGATCACAAACATTAAAAATTCACCACCTGCAAATGGATAGCACTGTGAAATGTGGTGGTAAAACTCACTGAGTCAGTGGAGCGCTGGACTAAAAAGAAAGTGCCTCTTGTATTTCACATCAGTTTGCTTTTTTATCTTAAAAATTAGTTGCCATTTAATGGGTGTTCAGCAATAAAAAGCAAAATTAACCATAACTGACATGACATGACTAGTTCAGTCTAATCCATTTTATTCATCTGTTTCAGAGCCGGAGTCTATGAGGCCCCAAACTGACCAATTCTCAAAATATTCGAAAAGCCATCAAGGTGATAAAACATTGATAAATATGTTCCCCTGGACGCCAAACAGAACACAACACTGTTTGAGATGCAATTTTCACTCACAAGAAAACAAGACAGAGTTATCGTGTGTATTTATTTCTGCTTCAGTACATCACTGCAAAAACAGTGTGATAATCACTGTTATCTGTTTTGTGATCCATTTATTGTGCAGATTTATTTTAAAG